ACTGGCGTCGGATATGAAGCTGGCGTCGGACTGGCCTGCGCTGAACGGCGCTGTTGTCGGCGTTGCGGTGGCTATGGTGATAGCGGATGGGACGACGTCGGCGCTGGTGTATTCGCAGGCATTGGTGCCGGCGTAATGTCACCTTGTAATCAACAAATCCGTGGGGGGCGCGTGTTTAAAACAATAGTTCCCCTGCTCGAGCGAATCGCGGGGTGGCGCCCGCCAGGTTGAAAATCAACGGGGCGGCGCTAGTGATTAGCGCCGATGCCTGGCTGCCAACGAGGGGCAAGGGGGGGGGGTCGGAGGCAAGCGCGAGCCAGGGCGCCCCTCTTTCTGTCGAGCCGATGCGGGCCTGCGGGCAGGGCGGGCTGGACGAAAGCTGGGCGCAGCAAAGGGGGGATGTGCCAAGCAGCTCACGTCGCCGATTTTCCAAGCGCCTCCTGGCGCCGAAAGCGGTCATGCGTCGAGGACTGGCCCTCCGGCGGGGTGACCGAAACTAGCTGCGCGCAGCAGGCTTTGCCACCCCCCCTTTCCTTCCCCAGCTTTTCGTCCGACCCGAGCAAGGCGGGTAGTCCTCCTCCCCCCTGTCGCCGTCGTCGCCGCCGTCCCCCGCCCTGCCTGCGCCCGTTTCCAACGGCCGCTCTCTTCGTCGACGACGACGACGACGACGACGACGACGACGACGACGACGACGACGACGACGGCGACGACGACGACGACGACGACGACGACGACGACGACGACGACGACGACGACGGGACGAGGACAAGGACGACGGACGGCGGACGGCAGACGGCGACGACGGCGACGACGACGACGCACTGCGGATGCCCTATGGGGCAGGGGGGGTGCTGCTGCGCAGGTCCGCTGCACCCGACGACGACGACGACGGCGACGACGACGATGACGAAAACGAAGACGACGACAAGGACGACGAAGAAAACGACGACGACGACGACGACGAGAACGACGACGACGCCTGAGAGGGGGAACGACAATTCGCCTCGGATGCGCACGACCCTTCTAAAAATTCCTATACGCAAAGGCAACCGTTGTGAGGCTGTCGTGCAGGGGGGTGCACGATGCCCTCGGCGGCGCCAGCGACGACCCCCTGGCGCGCGTGATTGAAAAAAAGGTTTCGCGCCCCGCGGGGTCTGTTCATCAGCCCCGGGGGGGTAGCCTTTCACAAGCTGACATTCGGCGCCAACGTTGGTGCCAAAGCCGGTGCTGGGAACTAAGACCTAACCGGGGGCGTGTTCCGTTTTCGGGCGTGGGGGAACGTCCGTTAAGCTCTGGAAGGGATGGGGGGGAGGGGTTGTTTCGTTTTCTGGGCGGGGAGCCCTGGGAGGCGAAAGGGAGGGAGACAGTGCCGGGACTGGGGCTGGGGCCAGAGCCGGGGTTGGGGCCGAGGAGGTCGGGGTCGGAGCCAGGCTCGGGGACGGGGCCAGCCTGGGCGCACCGGGATCTGGAGCTGGGCGCGGGGCCGGCCAGGGCCCATGGGGCTGGGACCGGGGCGGGAACCATGGTCGGAGCCCGGGTCGAGGCCCGAGGCTGGGGCCCGCGGCGCCCGCGGGCCTGGGGCCAGACTGGGGCCGGAGCCGGAGCCGGGGCCGGGGCCCGGGGCCGACAGCGATCGTCCCGGAACCAAACGCTGCGGTCGGGGCCGGGGCCACGGCCGCCGCCGCGGCAGGAGCTGGGCGCTGAGCCGGGGCCGCGGCCCGTTGGGGCCGGCGCTGGAGCGGGGGCTGCAACTACAGAGGAGCCGGGCGCGGGGCGGGGCTGGGGCCGCTGCCTGAGGGTCGGCGCCGGGCTCGAAGCCCAGAGCCGTGGCTCCAGGGTCGGAGCCGGCCCGGGGGCAAGGACCAGAGCCGGAGCAGGGGCTGGGCGGACCATAGAGCCATGGGGCCAGTGCCCGCGGGAGCCGTGCGACCGGGGCCGGAGCTGGAGCCGGGGCCGGGGCTGCGGCTGCAGCCAGTATACGGGCCGGGACTGGGACTGGGGCTGGCGCCAGGATTGAAGCCGGCCCAGGGCCTGGGCCTAGAGCCGGGCCAGGGCTCCGAAAGATCATGCTCATGCCTTTGCTTTTCCTTCGAATCCTGACGCTGGGACACGGCCAAAGCCAACACGGCACCAAGTGCCACTTCCGCTAAAACCGAGCGCTCCTGCTCAGAGCAATCGAGCTGAGCCAACAACGGCTCAACGGACCTCGGACCCCTCCCAGGGTCTGAACACATCAATATCCCGCGCTGAGCCGAGCCGTGGCGACGAGCGGGCCCCCCGAAGGCCAACTACCGTCGTCTCAGCTCGCCCTCCTCTGATAAAAAACGGCGGCTCTCCCGCCTGGTCCACATCTGCTCAGAATCGGCCCCTGGACCCCTTCCGGGGCACATCCTGACTCGCCTTCCTATATGGATCCATCCAGCCGTGGCGACGGAAAGTCTCCAAGTGGTCCCAAATAGGACGGCAAACGCCAAACAGGAGAGACGTAAGACTCGGGTTCGGAGAACCCGGATTAGTCTGGCGAAGCCAACAAGAGAATGACGAGACCCAGTCCGAAACTTGACGCGAGCTCCCGCTGCAAACACCCCACGAAAACTGCGCGTCAAACTCCAGGACGGGTTCGTCAAGAAGCAGCAGCAAATCTGAGAACCAGTGAACTCGGGCCTTGCGTCTCCCCGACTGCAGGGCCGCCATTGTCTTGCATGGCCCTCTTCCGACCGTCAGAGGCGACGATAGGTTCGAATAGCTCAGAGGCGGGGATTGCAAGTGTTCGCCGGGGAGCCTCGCCGAAGACGTTTACCACGGGCGACCCCGAATACATGCGTTGCTCCCCCCTGGGCTATTCGCCCCTATCGTCGCCTCCGGGCCCGACTCTGCGGGCCTACACGTGGGCAGGCACCCGCGCCAAACGGCGCGCTGCGGGCCCTCCCCACAACCTTGACTATAGACGACCGCTGCCGCCCATCACTTGCTCTGAGCGTCATGGTTGTAAAGGCGTTGCGCTGCAAAAGCATTACATTGTGTCGGCATCACTCTACGTTGCATTGCGCTAGATTGCATTGCATCGCATTGCGCTGCAGTGCTCAGTACCACATAGCTTGCACCACAAATATTGCACCACATAGCTCGCACAGCATAGCTTGCACCATATGGACTACTGCGCCACATAGGTTGCACAACGTAATTTTCGCCACGTCGACTGCACCACGTTGATTGCATCACATAGTATGCATTCCACGTAGCGTAGAGCGGGGTGAAGTGAGGTCAGGGATGGGGATGCAAGTAGCTTCTGTGTGTATGTGTTCGTGTTTGTGGGCGTGCGTGCGCGCGCGGACGGGCGTGCGTGCGTGCGCGCGTGCGCGTGGTGGCGTTGAGGCGAAGGGAGGGCTGGTGGTGGTAAGTGAATCGAGTGTTGTCTGTGTGCGTGTGGAAACGGCAAGATGAAAGGTAGGACGGAAAATGAATGGAAATGACGAGTGGAGGGAGAGAGGAGGAAAAGGGCGAGGGGAGGGAGGGGGGAGGAGAAGAGGGGAGAAGGGGAGAGGGTCACATCCAGAGAACCCCGGAGCGGCGGCACTGGCCGCAGGCCATTGCAAACAGCGGAAAGGACAATCCAGAAGGATCAGACGCAATTTGCTCGATGGTGGGACCACAGGTTCCACTCGCTCACCCATGCCCTCGAGGATCTGGCAAGAAGTTGTGTCACGCGAGACCTCCCAAGAGGAGGCCAGATATTTGCCTGAAGGTACTCGCAGGCAAAGGCGCAGGTAGCATTCATTCCAAGAGGCCCGGTGTCTCAGAGCCACGGAGTGCGTTCCCGTCTTCCCTCCAGAAGATGTCACAAGGTCGACAATCGACGAAAGACACCTGACTGCGCCCAACTGTGAAAATCCCATGCCATCCAGAGGCCACGCAGATACGCTTCTCGGAAGCAGTCCATGCAATTTCTTGCTTCTGCTGTGCGTGAGGTTTCGCGAACAACAGAGGCCAGTGTGAGTGCAGGCGCACTCGAGCTGCTCGAGAGGAGAAGAGCGGCGATGACTTGGAAGGAAGGAATTCCACTACCCGCAAACGCTTGGTGCACGCTCAGGTGATGGGAAAGAGAAGGAGAAGGAGGGAGAGAGAAAGGATCGAGAAAGGGGGGCAGAAAGAGAGAGAGGGAGACCACTTGTTGGCTAGTTCCACAAGCATTCACTAGGGCACTGGGGGAAAGTTCGGTGCTCCACTAAAAAGCATTCAGCGTCCCCCCAACTCTCCTCACATCTCAAAGAATTTAAAAACGCACGCAAACAAACGATCTTCCGAAAACGCCCGGCAATCAATCAACGAGATAAGGGTGGTGGAAACTACAGGTCAATGAATCGGTGTGTCGTGCCGTAGACTGTCGCATCATGAGCAACAACCACGATCCTCACCGGATGAAATGTCATCGGCAAACTCGGAGTGCGACGGCGGCTCTCCTCCTGTATGACACTTCTCGGGCATTAGGAACACATCTTAGACAATGGATCGGCTCACCCGAAAAAAGATGTTGACGCCAACGGAGGCGTTATTACCACCCCCCCCGCTCCGCTCACAACTTCGCAAGGCAGGGAGCGCGCGATGATGACGCGCACGACGGGCACGCTTCATGGCACGCGCCTCTGATACATACGGCATGCCTGCCCCGCCAGCGCTGCGGTGCAGGCCCAGCGAGGCTGGAGATGTCCAACTTCTCACAACTGATCCCTTCGGAACAGCAGCGATAAGAGATGATGGGGATCCTTTACATGAGCAGAGGGCAGCGGAGTGAGAATGGGGAAGCGAAGATGATAGGTCCAGTGAAATCAATTGGTGGCAGCGGTTGCATCACGAAAGCACCCAAACCCTTTACCAAAGCATAGATCAGCTATTCCACAATCAGGGCCCTCGCCAGCGATGTTCGCGCGAAGCCTGCATCGAAGATAGTGATACATGCCTCATGCCAGGACAACGGTGTAGGGTGTCGTGATTGGCCCCGCCTCTTTCGCGACCTCGACTTGCTCTCGTCCTTTCTCCTCCTGGGTGGACCACGGTGCTTTGCGGCGTAAGCCTCCTTCTCCTCCTGCTCCTCCTCCTCATCCTCCTCTTTCTGGTCCTCTTCCGCCTCCTCGTCTTCACCACCCCCAATTCCCCACTCACCATTCCTCTCTCACGACTCCTCGCCCCTCGTCCCCATGTGTTCCCTGTGCTCCTCGCTCCTGCCGATCGTGCTCCTATGCTCCTTCTCACCAATTCTTACTCTGCTCCGCCTGGTCATGCTGCCCATGGTCATGCTCTTGCTCATTGTCCTCATACTGATCCTGTTTACTCCTCCTCGTCTTCCTTCTCCTCATCACTACGCGCCCTCCTACACATCCTCCTTTGTCGCCGCCGCCGACAACACATGATCCTCCCCATCCGCCTCCATTCCGTCCTGCCCCTTCTCTTCCTCTCCGACGTCTGATTTCCCATCCTCCCCTTTATCTGAAAATGCGGCCAGACTGGTGGCACCGTCTGCAGCCGAGACGCTGGAGAGGGTTACAGGGGAGTCATGGCTACAGCTTGGCTTCTGGCGCGCACCCCTCATCCCCGTCGTGAACGTGCAGAAGTGAAGGCGTGGGGTGTAGCAGGGGCGTGGTCCATGCCACCTCCCGCCCCAAGCCCGCCCCCGCCCCTCCCCAAAAAACGTCCCTTCGTGAGGAACCCCAGGCCACAGGCCAATGCCCATCCAACCCAGACCTCTGCACCGTGGATGGAGCACGGAAGGCGAGAACGAGGACGGGGCCGCTGGGAGGGGCCGAGCGGGGATAGGCAACCACGCGGCACGCAAACATGCACACACGCACACACACACACACATCTATATCTATATCTATATCTATATATATATGTATGTATATACATGTATGTATGTATGTATACACACACGCGCACACGCACACGCACACGCACACGCACACGCACACGCACACGCGCACGCGCACACAAACACACACTTACACACACTTACACTTACACACACGTGCACACACTTACACACAAACGCAAACACACACACACACACACACACACACACACGTACACACACACACACACGTACACACACACACACGTACACACACGCACACGCACACACAAACACACACACACACACGCAAACAATCCGACTCCGACTTGGCGACCCCGGCGTCCTGCTTCGCGAGCGGCCCCTGGAATCTTTCTTGTCCTGCTCGCAAGATGCCGCGGGAATGACAGACAGACGCTCTCGGAAAGAGAGGAAGGGGGAGGGCAAGAGGGTCTCGGCTTCAGCCCAGAAGCTCACTACTGCCGACGTGCAGAAGCCGAAGGTCGCGCACCGCTAGCGCAACCCTGGTCGCCAGCCGCCTCCTGGACCCCTGCTGATGAGGGGGCTCAGTACACGAAGGCAGGGGATGAGGGGCGGAAGATGCTACACGAATGGGTTGAAACCTGCGCTGTCCTCATGCCGAGGGAGCGCTGCACAGCCACGACGAAGCCACGACCGCTGAGGGGGCCCGGGGAAGAGTTGGCTACTAGATTCGCCCCATGCCCCCTCCCCCTTGGGAGGGCCCGGCTGAACATGTCAACCCAGGGCGCGCAGCGAGAAACTGACCGTCGAGCAACAGCGGCACCCTGCGGCTGAATAGTTCAGGACGGTGAGTTCGCCTGCCACAAACCAAGTCTGCAGACGTGGCGTGCTCCCGTCCTCCTGGAGCGCCCCCCACGCCAACACCTGCCACCATTCCAAACACCCATCGCAAGCGTGGTAAGGCGCCAGGGGTTCACTCGAGGAATTCGGGGTGGGTCCAACACGCTGGACGGCGTGGCCCGCCAAATAGAAGTGCGCCGTCAAGTGCATATGCTGCCGAACATCTTCCGCCTATCAGAGTTTTTACATGGACCGTCTGGCGAACTCTGGGCTCTCAAGGGGGCCCTCCCCTCCTCGATCAGAACCGAATTCACTGGGCTGCTCTGGAACCTCTAGTCCTCCAAGCAGGCCCGAACCCGGCCAGAGAGCAAGCATGCTCGCGGGCCACCCAGAGCCGCATCGATGCGAAGGAACGGCCCACGATGGCACCCTCACCTGACCCCAAACATTCAATTCAACATGAGGCACTCGATTTCTGCGCCCATTGTACCAGGCCCGCTTGCACTCCATCTGCCTAAGGCTCATGCGGGTACTCTCGCTCGTGCAGAGCGACGGTTGAGAAGAAGGAGAGGGTGGTGGCGGCGCTTACACCCCCAATGGACGAAGACCCACGTCCGCCGAGCGCGACAACGCAGGTGCAAAGATATCCCGAGAGATCCCGCATCAGACCGAGAACAAAGAGGGCCCTGCCCGATGCGCTGAGTCCTCCCATATGTGTCAGCATCACCACCACCGCCAACGCCAATCACCGTCACTGCGATACCGTCGTAGAGGGGGCGGGGCCAAGCCAGACGGGTCGGGCAGCACCACAAAAAAAGTTTACGCAACGCCGTACCAGCCCATCCCAACATCTTCATTCGGATTGGTCCCGCCGCTGCATCTGGTCCTTTCAGCGTGCAGCATATTCCTTCGACCCTCCACCCCTAGCGGCTGGCCGCTCGATGCCGTCGCAAACGCTGTCGTGAAAACTGCCCTCACCTGATTGCGGTACGCCCCTCCTGCGGTTCGAGGCTGGTGCAAACAAAGGCATTCACATCGATAGTACAGTGCCCTTGCAACGGCTACTGACTGCACGCTCCTCCCCTGCTGACCTCATCCTTTGCATGGGCGACCCACCAAACGACGACCAATGCAATTTACTTTCCTTCCCCCTCCCCCCTCGAGGGGAATATTGGATTGGTGATCGGATCGAAGATGCCCTGCCTCTTCCTCCCTGCGTCCTTCTTCCTCACGGGGGACGCAGAACCGCTGCCGAAGAGCTCGCGCTTCCGCGCAGAGCTCATTCCGCCACCCCCGCTGCCGCCCTTGCCGCCATCGCCTGGGAGGCAGCAGCGAAAGAGGAGGGGAACATGAGGAAGAGGAGAGTTTGGCCTGTTGGCTACAACTAGCTGCCTCGTCGTATTCACATGCAGGGTGTAAGTTTCCGTCGTCTGATGCTAGACTTCATAAATCTCTGGTGGGCATTCGCTGCGAAACTACAATGAGTTAACATAATGCGCCACATCGAGAAAACAAGAGGTACGTTGCTCGAATGCCGCCCCGATTGCCAAGCCAATGAAACGGTCGTTGGAATATAATTGCAGAACATACGTTCATACATTCGGGTGTACCGTCAAATCTATGGCGGCCCCCAAGACAACATTTGCGTCAACGTATACACCGAGCAGTCCCATGTAGAGCCACGCTTGTCAAACATGATCGGACAAGAACAGGACGCGCCGATGTTATCCATTGGGCTCGTGTGGGGGAGAAGAAGACAAGGATGATGTCGACGACAAGGCGGCGGATGTCGAGGATGGAAGCGTGGATGACGGGGAGGGTAGCGAGGGGAGCAGAAGGACAACGAGTAAAACAACAAGCACAAGGACGAGGAGGAGGAGATGGAGGAGGACGAGTATGAGGAACGAAGCGGAGGAGGAGGCGGAGGAGGAGGAGGAGAAGAAGGAGGACGACGACAATGAAGGAAGGTAAGGAGCCCGACGAAAATGACGCCGAAGAAGAGAGGGGTCCTCGTGATCTCTTGAAGCAACCCTGGGGGCTGTTGGGTCCGTCTGGGGCTATCTTGGGGCATCCTGGGAGCCTTTTGGGGGCCTGTTGGGATTCTCTTGGGAGCTTCTGGGGTCTTCTTGGGCTGTCTAAGCATGTTTTCGGGTTCTTGGGGGCTCTCTCAAGCCGTCTTGGCGCCATCCTGAACTGTCTTGGGCCGTCTTGGGGCCCGCTTGGGCAGTCCCGGGGCCTCTTCGGGGGCTCTTGGGGGCCTCTGGGCGCCTTTGGGGACCCCTCGGGGCGCTTTGGAGTCCCCTGGGGGGCCTTCGGGAGCTCTCTTGGGTCGTGTTGAAGCCCACCGGGAGCGACTCCAAGGTAATGCTGGTCCGGAGTCCTCTCCTAAACAGATGTTTCGAAGATGCCTCGAACGAAATGTAATTTTCCCAGAACCTTTCCTGACATGAACGGGATGCGCGGAAATCCGCCGATCCGGCGTGTGAGTTTCAAGGAGTCTCAGCTACAGCCTCGAGGCTGAGCTTCAGCCTCTGGGGGGGTCGCCGGGGTGGCTCTGCCGGGGAAGGGGGGGTGGGGGGGGGGGGGGGGGTGCGAGTTTCCGGCGAACCCCGGGGCCGCTCCGGGGGAGTGGAAGATAGGGGGGGGGGGGGCGCCATGCTCCGCTTTTTCCGGCGCTTTGGAGGAGGGGGGGGGCCCAAGAGACCCCCAAGGGGTTCCAAGAGGGCCCCGAGTCGCCGAAAAATCGCTCCAAGACGCCCGAGATGGCCTCCAGACGGCCCAAGGTGTCTCCAAGACGCCCCAAGAAGCTTCCAAGAGGCCTCCCAAGAGGGCCCCAAGAGGCCAGAATCGTTGATTTTCATTGGTTTTCTCAGGGTTTTTAGCGTTCTTGCCTTTTCGGGCGTCCGACGCTCGAAGACGGCCCAAGAGGCCCCCAAGTCCGTCCCAAGACGGCCCACGATGCTTCCAACACGGCCCAAGAGAGCCCCAAGACGGCCCAAGAGGGCCCCAAGACGGCCCAAGAGGGCCTCTGGACAGCCCAAGAAGGCCCCAAGAGAGCCCCAAGAGGGGCCCAAGAGGGGGACCACGAACCGAAAGAACCGAGCTTTCCGCCCCAAGAGGCCCCCAGGAGGCCCCAAGAGACCCCCAAGGGGCCCCAAGAAGCCCACAAGAGGCCCAAAAGAGGTTCCAAGAGGCCCCAAAACAGCTCCCCAGAGGCCTCCAGACTGCCTCCGGCAGGCCCCCGGTTTCTTCCGCGGCACCGCCCAGGGCGCCACCGGCAGGATGTCCTCCGTCTCATCGTTTTCCTTCAAGTTATCGCCTCTTCCTCATTCTCCTCCTCCTCCTCTGCGACCTCACTCCTATCCCTCAACGATCGCGTCACCGAGTGCCTCTTCTTTGAAACATCCTCGCTCTTCAAACGCACATCCATACACACATGCATACATACCTACATTTAAACACATTTGCATACATAGAAAAACAATCTTCCAGACATACATACTTACATTCACACACATACACACATATTATCATACACACATACAAACATACATACAAACTAAATACATACATACGCGCACAAGCATACATACATACATACGTACCTACACACAGGCACACATGATCAATGCATGCATACATGCATGCACGCGTACATACACACACATATATCGTGAAACTCACCGCGTGCTCGAAACTTGAGAGAGACCGCGGGAAGTCGAGAGAAGCCGCGGAACGAGGCCTCTACTACTACTACCACTACTACCACAACCACTACTACTACTACTACTACCACTACTACTACTACTACTACTACTACTACTGCTACTACTACTACTACTACTACTACTACTACTACTACTACTAGTACTACAGGAGCGTTTCCCAACTAGTATGTGTGTGTGGGTGATGCTGTGTGCGCATGTCTGCGGCGCAGGTTAAGTGGTGTGACTGTGTGTGTGCGTTTGAGTGTGCGCCCATAATTTCTGCGTCTGGAGAATAACCCCGAGCGACCCGGATCGGCGGCACTGGCCGAAGGCCACTACAATACGACGAGTTGCGCAAGAACGTACGGCAGCATCACGATGAAATGTAACGCGCGCGAGCTCTCCGAAGGCTCACAGCGGATAACTGTGGACACACGCTCCCCGAATGTCAACAAGTATGATTCAGAATATCCTGTCTCTCTCCTCCGTGCACCTCCAGTTTCCTCCTTCCTCAGTTTTCCAAGACACTAACCCTACAGACCCGTCTAGCCCCACATACCCCCCCCCCAAACTCTAACCCCACAGACCCTAGCCCACATACCCTAACCATACAAACCCTAACCCTACAGACCCTACTGACCCTACAGACCCTAACCCTAAATACATACTGATACATCTTCTAACCCTACATACCCTAACCCTAAATACCCGAACCCTACATACCCTAACCCTACAGACCCTACTAACTCTACATACCCCAACCCTACTGACAGTAACCCTGGAGGCCCAAACCCTGCATACCCCAACCCTACAAACCCTACTAACCCTACAGACCCTGACCTTACAGACCATACAGACTCTAACCCTAGAAACCATAACCCTAGAGACCATAACCCTACAGACCCCGGCCCTGCATACCCTAACCCTACACACTCTCACCCTACAGACCGTAACCCAACAGACCCCGACACTGCAACTCTCATCCTGCAGACCCTAGCCCTATATACCCCAACCTATATCACCATGTCCGTCATGATCTGATGAGTTCGAAAACCCGTTCGGCGGCAGTTCTTTTGTTTAAAAAACGGGGCCGTCTCAAGCGAGACGCTTACTATGAAACAAGCGTGTGGGACATCCTGTGTATTTCGAACAACGCCGCTTCTAGGGCCAACTTGGAAGTCATCCAAAGGCGCCCCGGAAAAAAAAAGTGTCTCCAACAACTCCTGGCGCGTCCAAATGTTTCGAGAATATCTAAAGCGAAACGGCCATGCTTGAAGTTCCGAGGATCACACAAGCCAGCGATTTCAACGCCCCCATTGTCCGAGGAGGACTCGGGCGAAACGCTCACGCGTAGCATAAAGCGTCTGAGGATACGACCCCCAGATCGCGATTCGGAGAGGATGTCTCCAGCGAAACGATACTTGTGCAACTCCGCCAGGTCCCCAGCGGATTAGGACCCCCGCCGCCACTCCACCCAACGGACCCCCCCCCCGCACTTGATAAACAGTTTCCCTCAGGGCTCGGATGCAATGCCCGTCGCGCGACTCTTCGAGTCTAAGTGCGCTTTTTAATTATCGCAACCCCAAATCAAGAGGTCTCGCGAGCAATCACAAAGCCAACCGCGTGGTCGACCCGCGCGCATGCGCACCTACAGGCGTCACATACGAAGCTACCGCCCTCAGGTGGGAGGCTCGCACATCAGCACCTGGCCCTCTGGCCAAGGGACTGGTGGCAGGCAAGGAAACCCAAGACGGCGCAGCGCGGTAGGCGCGGAGAAGCATAGCACACCGATGCTGGAGCCGCCCTTACCAGCAGTGCAAAGTCGGCAGCACTTCAGGATGGCGAACGAGGGCGGCAGACAGACTGATCGACCGCCTGTCTGCGGGTCGCGGGCCGAGCCAAATTCAAAGTCACCAACGCAGCAGGCCAGAGAACGGGGAAAAGGCAAGAGACGCGCCAGCGGTGGAACAAATGTGTGCAACAGCTGAAACCTCACAAGGGCGAGAGCACAAAACTTGGCCGAGTCCAAGCACTCCGGTCACTGACGGCTCTCACGGGCCACGGAGGATCACTGCGCCAACTTCCCATTCTGTTTGATCCGAAGGTCACGGAATTGGTTGGTGTAGTCGACAGCGAACCGCCGGATGCAGGCGCGCGGGGAGCCAAGCCGCTCGGTTGCAGTCGGGTCCCACGCGAGCCATCCGATGAGCGCGAAGTCCACTTTGTTGTGCAGCCGAGGACAGACCTCGCAGAGAGTCCTCAAGTCCGTTGCGTCGAGGAAGCAAGCAAGTCGGTCCGTGGGCCGGCGCTTAGCGTGCACGATGGCCCGCGGCGCCCGGGTCACCCTGAGCCCCCTCGAGCCAAATGACCGGGCTACAGCAAACAAGGAGATGATCGAGGCCCCGACGCGCCCCGACACTTCGGCACCCACGCATCTCCCGTGGCTGTTGCAACTGCTGCGTCGCCGAGTTGAATGGCCCCATAGCGTCGACCTGCCGCGACGCCCTGGCACTCATAGAGATCGGGCTACAACCGCGCTCGCCCTCTGGCGAGATTGGAACGGCAGGCGCGGTGATAGTTCCTTGTGCTGTGCACTGGCTCGTTCCCATCG